CTTTTTGAATTTTTAGACTAAAAAGTTGAGGAAAAAAATATGATTGTTTGGGTTAACTTTTTGACTTTTTATAAAAAAAATGTGTATTAAAAAATTATATAAATTAGTATGTAGAGAAAAATTAGGATTGAGAGTTGTGCAGCCGTAATTGTTGACTTTTGGTGAATAGTAAAAACTTTTTAACTTTTTGACCACATGCCAAACTTGGCCTAAAACTTGTCACATTTTTTATATTAAATTTTATATAATATTTTCTTTATATAACACTAATCAAAGAAAAATTGTTCAATTGATAATAATAATAATAATAATAATAATAATAGCAATAATAATAAATAAGTGAAATAGTCCCAGCCCAGGTTTTGGACTCCACGAACAGAGTCTAGCCATTGGTAATCCCTTGTAATCCAATCCCAGCAAATAAGGTTGACAAATGACCCCCCATGGCAAATATGCAATGTCAACCCGGGTTTTCACCACTTGTTTTTGGACCAAGTACTAGAGATTCTGTCAAGAGTCACACTGATGAAATACCAAAATGTAACTAGAATGCTCCTCATATTTTTCCTAGTCAGAAAATGTGAAATCAAAAAATAGAATTAATAAGATTACAAATAAAATTATAATGAACCAAATAAAATATTAGAGAATCGAACACCCAAATCAGTGTGTGTGTGTGTTTTTTTTTTAAGCCAATTAGTATGAAATTAATTACAAATGTGCAAAAAATATTCTATTAAACACCACAAAACAATAATAATCCAGCCCAAAAAACTAGAACCCCAACAACCACCATGATAAAAACCATAATGGTTTACAAAATAAACAACTTAATACAAACCCTTTAATTATAAAAAAAATGATCAATCTGTCTTGAACACAAATTCACACTTAATCCCCTAAATAAGAAAATGTACAACCAATTAAGCTAATCAGTTCTCAATTAATTTCCTTACAAAAATGACCAAAATGACTCAATGATCAAAAAATAAACACAATTAAATTCCCCAGTTTGATTACTCGATAACCTTAACTTAACCAACCAGAGCACCAATGCTTTATGTTGCCGTTTCACAATTAACTTTATTAATTAATTATTTTTAATTATTTTAACTTAACTAGCTTTAAAAAGTCAATTAAAAGTTGAATTATTAACTTTTTTTTAAAAAATGTGCAAAAAAATATTTTAAAAAAAATATAAGACAAATTACATATACATCCCTCAAGGTTTAATTAAATTACAAATACCCCTGAAGTTTGCAAAATTATAGATACCCCTGAGATTTACAACAAATTATCTCCTAATTTGTTATGCAAATACAACCTTCAAAAGGAATATTTATAATTTCTCAAACTTCAAGAAGTATCTATAATTTAATTAAACCTCAAAGAGATATATGCAAAAATATATAACATTTTATCTCATTAAAGGTTGGTTTGGAAAATGAGTCAACTTTTTAACTTTTTAATTTTTTTGATTATTTTAACCTGAACTAAAAAAGTTTGATTTGAGAAAGACTTCTTGATTTTTTAATTTTTTTTTATAAAAGAAGAATATAATAATTATAGATTGAATATGATGTTTTGTTGATTATAACTAAAATAACCTATTTTATCATTTGTGATTAAAATAACCAAAAAAACTTACAAACCTTCTTTCCAAACGGTACCTAAATTTATTTTTTTAATACCTTTTTAGCCAGAAAAACCCTTACAACCTCTAAGGAAACACAACAGGGATTAAAATTATAAAAACAATTACAAATTAATGATAAATTTTATCAATATTAAGGATTAAAATTAAAGTAATGTTAGAAATTATAAAAAAAATATCATAAAATCCTTCATGAAAATTTGTACTCCTTTAATTAATGTGTGGTATTTTTTTATGTATAATCTAACAGTAAAAAATCTTTCATAATCATTTTCATAATACCTAATATTACTCTTAAAATTATCAAACTTTCCACGTACATATAATACTTTTTCATGAACACGAGGGGTAAGTTAACCAAAACAATACGTAATCATAGTATACATATATACACACAATACATTTCTGACAACGTGTTATATAATTAAAAAAATATATATGATAAATTAAAATAACCTGTTAAAGTAACCAAACCATTTGTGGAGTGATTTCAAATTCATTCAAGCAAACATGACATAAAGAGTATAATATACTAAAGTTCAATCATATGATCATTGAAAATGATTTCTTGAATAATGATGTTCCACCTAACAGAAGACATGATATAAAAACAAACCTTATCCAAAATCTCCACAATAGAAACTTGCAATTTTGATCGTACCAATAATAGAAATTCTCATATACACCCTCTCAAAAATATATATCACATATATTTTTAATTATATTATTTTTTTCTTTAATTATCATTAATTTCCTATAATAAAAAAATACATATGATGCGCAGAAGGCCGTAGGGTTTCCCACCAACAATGGATACTTGCACTTTCAATCAAACATATATATATATATATAGCATGAGTAAATAATTGAAAATGGAAAAAGAAACCATGAATTGCAACAATAAAAAAACACAACAAAAAAAACCTAGCTTAACCATTGAACAAGAAAAGATGATCATAAGTACATAAACCATATATATGAGTGAGTGAGAGAGAGAGCTCCAGGAGTCCCTGAAACCAATTCCATTTTTTTTTTCCTACCCAAAAATAAAGACAAAAAACAAAAAGATGGAACAACTATTAATCTTGGATAAACTAGTCATGGTGTTCTAGAAAATCCAACACAAACTTGCCCCAATCTTCTTCACCCACTTGCCTTCCCACCTACTCGTCATCATCTTCTTCCTACAAAATGGCAAAAATCAAATCATTCTCTCAATAATCGTTACTAACTAACAGGTTCACAAACTAAAACAAGCTTCAATTTTTAACAGAAATTTGAATCAAAACTAACCTCCCCACTCTCATCGTCTTCGTCATCCTCATCGTTCACCTCCGACCTCAACTTGTCAGACTCTTCTTCATCAGCTGGACCCTCAGCCTATACCAACCATTATTGCAAATAATCAAATAATAATTTCCTAAAACATCTAGGGATTGATTGAATAATAGTAAATTAATTGA